TGTTGGCATATTACCCAAACATTGTTCTTTTGTCCTACAGTATTCACTTAGTTCCAGAGTATTTCTATCTGTAGCTGGGCCTGTTTTGTTATGTTGCCCTTTCAAAGGTGAATGTTCCATTGGAGCGTTAGAATAAGGATTGATATCCTTTTTGAAGTATGGAACCAGACTTTGAGACTGACCATTCGATGTATCTAAAGGAGTCTTGAAATTTAATGGATGCGAAGTCCAGCGCTTTGGAAGGCATGTTTGAATACATGTGGACTGCTCCCATGTAATGTCTTCTGAGAGTACTGGCGTTGACTGGACTCTAATTAATGCCTGAGTACTTTTAAATCCGTCACGGATTGCTCTGTCCACATCACAGTTTGGTAAAGGTATTAGACGAAGTTCGAGAGCTGTCTGAATTTTACCTATCTGTGGTATTTCAGACAAGCACGAATTAGATGCCATTTCGCTTAAGAAAACAGAACTATCCAGTACTAACTGGCCTACAGTATCGTGAGAAGCAGTGTGTATTCGATTTACTGGACTCTGTTTCCTATCTAAGGTTGAATTTCCGATGCTACAAATGTCTTTGTTGTCGCAAGGCGATGTATCGCAGACACTGTCAAAGTATACAGACTCGCTGCTTAGGCCTGCATGCCGATGCTCGATGTTTAGATTACAGAAATGAGGCAAACTTTCTTTGCTATCAAATACTGAATTATTAGTTGTTGCCGCAGATTTCTCTTGAGCATCTTCTCCCACGTTCACAAAGACTGAATCATTCGATTTAAATTTGTGTGCAGACTTTAATTTTATACCCGAAGAGGTATATTGAATACGACTGTTGGCCCAATTGTTTGTTCTTTGAGAACAATGCTCACTGTCTTTTACAGTAAAATGTGCATTGTTGTTAGGCTTATCATCTTGATGATTGGATATTTCGTTAGCGATTGAAATACTTATGGTGTCTTCTGGATATAGGTCTTGCTGAAAGTGTATGCTAAAGTTGTCATTTGGGGTGCTGTATGAGCTTGTGTCTGATGCTGAGTCTAAGTTCTCATCTGTGTTTGAATTATCCGGTCTGGTCTTTTCTTGACTTCCTGTGTGCCTCTCCGAGAAGCAATGACTATCCATGGAGTTCTCCGAAACATCAACGTATTCCTCCATGGTTGGACTGGTTGCTCCAGGGTTGCTTCCCATAGAATCAGGGCTTCTGAACCTGTACTCTTCCGGGGACGGCGAATAACCAGCTTGGAATGCGTAGCAACTATAATCTTTGTTTGCTTGAGGCAAGGATATTAAAGATGTAACCACTCGGTCATTTCGATTCCTGTAGCGTCGTGCACTGTAATGGCTTGCCTGATTTTTTGGGCTTGGCACTTTTCCGCTTGCTTCAAAACCTGTCCGATGGCAATACTGCCGCCCATGTAGAAGCTCTTCCGGGAATGAACGAGTCTTTACTGCTAAACTTAAGGCATTTGGTCTATCCCAGACTTTGGGCGCTACTTCGTCATCGTCACTGGGCGCAATTTTTTTATAACTGGGTCGACTCGATAAAGAGGACTCGAAATCATATCTTAGTTCATATATTCTCCTATGATGTTCTGCTGGTCTGCTTTCCATGGGTGATTCAATATCAAAACTTGCTGTAGGATCCTCTTGGCTTGCAACATTTATATCCAGTCCCAACGGATAGCTGCTGCTTGACTGAGGAATATCGACAGACGTGGAAGGTTTCTTGGTTTCAGGAAGAGATCTGAAGCCTGTGAACATGCTGACAAATCTTTGCCAGCTTGTACTTCGCCGATTATTTCTGCGTTTTTGACGCACTTGTTTAGCAGACACAGATTTTAAAAGTTTACCTTGACCTTGAAGCTCCTGGGCTGCACGACTTCCGGTGAAAACATTTTTTAGTTTAGTCCAAGTTATTTTGGGCGAGGAGCGAGTCGAATCTTGAGGGCCTCTATGTTCTGACGACTGATCGGCTTCTTGTAAACTATCGTTTAAACTGTCACTGCCCAAATCAATTCTTCGGTTGAAATTACTTATTGCTAAGTCTCCAAGGCTCAGCCTACTGCGTTTGCTTTTAGACGAGCCTTGAGATGGCGTGGCGGGATTCTGTGAAGACATCTTGTTCTCTGTAGTTCTTGCCTCTTTACTTGTGTTGTCTTTGACGTTACTATGGAGGCAGTTGTAGTATTCATTCATGTTCCCTGCCGGCACGTAGCTAACTTTACTCAGACTAACTCGACGGGAGAGATCCGGGGATGGGGTTTTTTGCTCTTCGTAATAAAATTCCCCTGGTGCTCCGTCCGGTTTTGGAACACGTTTCAAAAACACGATGCCGTTTGTGTTTCTGCTGCGAATATGACTCCATCCCTGCGGTGCGTCTGTCTCAGTGCTCGGAGAATGTACGAGAATGGTGGGCTCGCTGTTCCGGTACTGACAACATCCATCCGGTTCGTATGATTTAGAAATGAAGCCGTGACTACCACACACAACATCAGATGGAGAAAGCTGTTCACCGTGTGCATGGAAATAGTAATGTTGCTGATCATGGCAATGTGACTGTCCTGGAATATAGCCCTGTAGATTTTGAAAGGGTTCAGAATTTCTTTTCCCAGAGTAACAAGTTTGCTGCCCTCGATACTGATCTGGTATAACATGTCCCAGAGAATGCCTTCCAACTTCCCCGTACACTTCAGTATATTTAGAGTACGCTGGATCGCACTGGACAACATAAGCATTTCTTCGTTCTCTGTTGTAGTTGGCTGCTACTTCTTTTTCCTCTAAACAAGTTCGATAATCCGTGTCGTCTCCGTGTATTGTGCACATTGAACTCCCCTCATACTGGGGTGGGGGTACATGACGTCTGTTTGGAGTTGCTTTAACAGAAGCATCATTTCCGTGAGGACGTTTGCTCTTAAATTTCATAACAATGTCTTGAAAAGATACGCCATTTGCCTGCGCATTTTCTTCTGTCTGCGTGTTGATTCTGATAAAAGGCCCCCGGTATTTTCTGGTAATTGTCATACCTCGGTTTCTAAAGAAAGATTTCTTCTGCATCATGGGACTAGGCGTTGGACCGCGGGAAGCTGGGAATGGAGAATCTTCCAGAAAGAAGGGACAGCTATTGTTATCACTATTGGCGACAGAATCAAAACTTAGCATAAACGACCGTCCTAACTCACGTAATGTTATTGAGTTAGTGTTGCACAAGGCGGCAACCATTCGCTTCCGTCTTATTCCGCCGTATTGAAAAATTACGTAGAAGTAATCCATTAGAATCTGGCGCTTCTTGATGACTTTCCTGTGCCGGCAATAGAAGGAACCGGCTAAAAATATCACCATGCTAATGGCCACTGTTACTGCCGGCACCCAGGCTGGGAATGGAGGAGAGGCGTATGCCAGTACGGTGTCATGGCGTACTGGTCCTTCAGTGTCGTTGGAATTGTCAACTTTTTCCATAAAAACATTTATTTACAAACAGAAATCCTTGCCAACTTGGTAGCGTGTATCCGATAAGGACTTTGAAAAATCCTGAGGCACTGGTCATTTATGGGGAAAGATATATTTACGGGGAAAATTCTTTGCTACCTTGGTAACGATGTGCCTTCCACCATAACGTTGAAAATACCGGAAGTAACTATATATACAGAATCTCTCGCCAACTTTGTACCACGTTTATTTTTAATAAGAACGATAAGAAACATCAATAGATATTTATTTTTTATGAAAACAAATACACTTTCCATCAATATTCTTCACCAAATGTGTATTCATGTGTTTGAAGTTAACATTTTTTAAGCAGTCCAGAAACAATCAATATTTATTGACTGTATTTCTTGTTGCTACGTTTAATAGTAGGCTGGCACTTTGTTTAAGCGGTGTTATATGACAGTTACGTTGTGGAATGCGGTTTGAGCTCTATAGTAATGATTCATTGCTTGGAAATTACCTGCAGTAGTCACAAACGTAGGCAAATATAACTTGTTTTAATCTGTAGTCTAGGTTGATTTCCATGTCCCTTGATGATGTTAGGATTTGCTGCAAAAATATAAATAGGTAAAGTGTCAAAAAGCAAAAATAATCTGGAAATGTTTTCTAAATTTCAAAATAATGTGTCATCTCTATCACGTACCGAGTGCCGATTATTCTATAAAATAGGAGTGTAACACTATATGTCCAATGGCGGGGACACTGGTCTTTTATACATTAGTCTCCAATGGAGGTTGGCTGTGGTAGATGTCTGCATACGCTGATGCATTTGGAAATACTGTATGATGTGATCCCAAGGCGTGACTGGTATATCACTTTTGCACACACACACACACACACACACACACACACACACACACACACATATATATATATATATATATATATATATATATATATATATATATATATATATATACATACACACACACACACACAAACATAGAGACGCCTCACAGACAACAAATGATTAATAGCATCTTCGTCCCTACTTGGTGCTATCAATACCAAACATGGTCAATGAAAAGAGCACTAGAACAGAAGATTACCACGTGTGAAATACACTGTCTACACAAGGTCACTAACAACACAAGAAGGGACAGGGTTGATAATGCCAGCATTAGAGAGAAAGTTGTGCAAAGAGTGAAATGGTTCGGCCATCTAGTGAGAATGTAGCCAAACTGCATATGAGACTTTTTACAGAAGAAAATCTGGGAGGAAGGCGAGAGAAAGACCGAGAAAGAATTGGTTCAATGGCTTAGCTGAAACCTGCTAAAAGATGTACAAATCCATCACTCAAGCCACCCTAGAAGGGCAAGACATTGAATTACACCCTTGTATCAGTAAGACGACAAAAGAAGAAAAACCTCTCGCTCATCCCCACCCACCCACCTTTGTTCTATGTCGCAGACATTAAACCCGCCTAAGTCGTATTGAATCGAGTTTACCAAACCCCTAAATCATAAGATAGCATTGTGTTTTAATTGGTGTTTCAAGGTGGAGAATATGGACTTTATTGCATCAGGTAACATCCTGAATAACTCACATATCATAGGCGACTTCTGGGAATTTCCAATAACTCCAGCATTCACAAACTGAAGGACTCAGTCTTAAATTGAACTCCACACTTAAGAGCTCCATCAAATGCTCTTGTCACTTTGCCCTGGCATACCCCCCACCGTACAAATCTCACCCCCCCCCCCCCCAACAACATTTCCCTCGCCATCCCCTGTTTTATATCGCAGAAACAAACAATAGTTCTCTTAGAAGACCCTTTGTTCCGACATTGCTTATACACGCTACTGAAGATCGCAAACTGTAGAGAGGCATGATCGCCCACGCTAGTCTGTAGAGGCGATTAATAATGAAGGTCATTTCGGGGCTTGAGGCTTGTCGGGCATATGGGGCTAGCCCTATAATGTTAGACCAATCGGCACACTATGGGTGATAGTGGTCAGGATCACTCTGTCTGACTTTACTTCCCCAAAGGAACATTCTAGAGCTTATTTTATGCTGAGTCGAACTGAACTCTGAGGTTAACAACGACAACAACAGCAACAAAGCTAATCTTGGAAACACTGAAGAATGGAACACTTCAACACAGGCCAGGCTTGATAGTGCACTGACCACTGCATTATCTCAGCTCTAACCAGAAATGTATATTGTTACATACAACACGTTGGGGGGGGGGGGGGGGGGGGGGGAGGGGGGTTGACGAAATATTTGAGCAGTTTTTCTCTCGTTCTAGAGATCATGGGTATATATACATACATACATGTGTATGTGTATATATACATATATATATATATATATATATATATATATATATATATATATATATATATATATATATATTGTGTGTGTGTGTGTGTGTGTGTGTGTGTGTGTGTTTAAAGGCGTTGTAACGATTTCTTGAATTAAAATTTAACAAATTTGGTAACGTTTGATGTACTGTGGTAGTTTTAAAAGAAATAAATTGGGGTTCTATTCCCAAAAAAGTTTCGGCAGCCCTGGTTTATGATGGGCGGCTACTCTCAGTAATTAAAACACTTTCCATCTGATAGCAAACTATTATCTTTTATAATCTCTTTAGTGACAACAGCAGCATCCGATGTTCGGTGTCATCTCTCTCTCTCTCTTTCTCTCTCTCTCTCTCTCTCTCTCTCTCTCTCTCTCTCTCTCTCTCTCCTCTCTCTCTCTCTCTCTCTCTTTCTCCGCTACCCTTTCTGTGTGTGTATGTGTGTGTTTGTGTGGGCGCCTGGTATCACTCTGACAGTTAATTTTGTATGTCTTTTTTTTTTCCTGGCTGTTGCTCACTCTTTCTCTCACTGTCTCCCTCTTCCTCTGTATTATTCTAGGTCACTTGCATTGTCTGTGTCACCCCTGTTTTTCTGCCTGTCTCTGTCTACCTATCTCTGTCTCTCTTTCTCTCTCCCTCTCCCTGTCTGTGTCTCTCGCTCTTTCATTCGTTTGCCATTCGAATTTAGGAAAGTAAATCACATGAAAGACATAATTTTATTTTTTCTGAACTTTAGAAACCGAAATAATGCGCACAAACAAAAATATAGTTCAACAAAAAAATTACAATAGATAATAAAGAAATTGAAAACCAGCAATAAAATTACAATACAAATTGAAAACCAGCAATAAAATGGCAACAGAGGAGGAAGAAGTTCAAAATGTCAAGAAAAGTTAATACTTTGCTTCCGTAGAAAGTAGCAATTGAGACTGTTCAAGAGAAGACAAGATCGAGCTTGGTCATGGGGATGTAGAGGTTGAACAGATACAAAAGTTCATTGCACAACTCAAACAACCAATTAAGAGAGATAATTTTGAGAACGTGAAGTTTTGTGATGCAATACATTGAAATTTGTGCATTATTTCGTAATCAACAAAGAAGAGTCAGAACTTTACAACGTAAATGTTGCGAAAAATATTTTTCCGGGATTTATTTAAACAAACACAAAACAAACAACAATGACTTCCTATAACATGTTTCTTCATCTTCTTCTTCAACATTCCGAACCCTTGAGGTTCATTGCTGCAGATATCACTCGCCTCTACTCATCTCTCTAGTTGACCTTCTCTTTCCAGTTGGTGACACTAAGTTTTTGCAGGTCCTATAACATTGTTTCCCAAAATGGGTGATCCTGGTAAAGGTTTGCACTGAAGCGATCCAGGGTCCTGAAGCAATCAAGTGTACAATCAAGGGCTGTCTTAAAAACGAGTTACTAGTTAGATTATCTTCACAGCACCCCGGACACATTCGTAGGAGCTCAAATTCCCCTTTCAGCATATTCATCAGCGTCGCGCAGTTAATAGTGCCAGTCATATGATGGTTGGCAAAACTTCTTGTATATATAGTGTGCCTTTTGTGCTCAGCGGTGCCGAAATTTACTTAAAGCTCTAGTATTCTTAGCAGTGATGTTGACATGTTGCTTGCAAAATCCTCCGAACGTCCTGTCTATCTAAGGGCATTGACAATGTCTGCGTGATCAAGATCGACCATCTGCAACTAATGCAGAATCTGCCAGTTTCTCCGCTCTTTCATTACCAACAACACCAGCGTTCCCTGGGACATATATAAAGGTAATGCTAACAAAGGGAAATTTTGCAATAACTCAATCCATTGTCTGCGTATGGAGCCAGTCTCGACCCGCCGGATCATGTATTTGGAATCACTCAGCACACACACGTAGATAGTCCTAAAATTCTAGCCATACAAAGGCTTGTGTCGCTTGTGTGTAGAAGGCATCACTGACTTCCTGGACTGTTCTGCCTGCAGAGTGAGCTGTAAATGCCCATGCACTCTTATGTCCTCGTATAATGAACCCGTTTGTGTAGTTAAAAACATCTGACTTGTCACTGATAAGCGCCCTGACTTCGGCGTTGACAGCAAGGAGATTCTACCCCCGGTAAACCCTATCATGGTAACGACATAGGTTATCGTCTAATTAGACGCTTTAGGCACTGGTACCCATTTTCGCCAGGGTGAATGTCTGTACGACTACACATAAATAAACAGAGGGGGAACCTCTGAGGCTATACAAATTATTTACAATATATATATATATATATATATATATATATATATATATATATATATATATATATATATATATATATATATATATCACTAGCTGTACCCGGCCACGCGTTGCTGTGGCGTAATTTGACTACATGGAAAATAGAGAACATAGAAATGTGTCTTCGCTTCACGCTAGCGATGTACAGAGCAACAGCTAAACCACAGCTAATAAAACTGGTTACAAAAGTGGTTATTTGGTTATCACATGCTAAAGCTGTTTGTATTTTTATAGGAGACGGAAGTAAAGCTACAACTGTACTTGTAAATAACAAAGTAAGTCGTAAAAAATAGAAAAGCGGAGGTAGCGTTAGTAAAATATAAACAAATTAGGTAATGAGAACTTGAAAATCACGTTTAAAGCTCTTTAGGTTCTCTTAAATTT